GTTACAATGTTTGGAAATCCTGGTCCCCCTGGCGGTGCAGTGGATTAAGGTGCAGCACTGCAAGCTAGCAGCAGATGCTTCAGTGTAAATTCTATCCCCAGCCCCAGAGGTGATCCACATGGCGTGGCAGACCTCTCCTGTCTAGCCCACTGCTCCCTCAGCAGTGTGCTTTGTCAATCTGCTTGTTCTGCTCCCCACTCTGTCTCTGGTGAATCCTCTCGCCACCCCTGCACCACTGGCCTATACCCCAGTTCTATATGCATAAATAAATTAATTAATTAACCTTTAAAAAAAATGTTTGAAAAACCAGATGGGTCACTATGTCTTTGCAGATATAGCGGTGGTGAGGCTGAAGTTATCCAAGATGAATGAGGTCAAGCAATTTGGATGCAATCACCATGTAAATGTTAAGAAGCTCTCCGGTAATGTTCTGATCCCATGACTTCATTGGTCCAGATCAAGAAACCTTTTCCAAAATTGCTGCTGCTTTATACATCTGGAAACAGCCTAAGCTTCACTACTGATATTGAAGACCAAATAAACCATAATTCCTTCTCTTTAGATAAATGAAAACATATACGAGGGCTGGAGTCTTGACAGTCACATGACCTGGTCTGGTTCTATATTCTAGAAGGACAACAAACAAGTTACCAATTTCTTTGAGCCTTAGCTTATAAATTCAAAAACAGATAATACTGACCTCAAAGGATTGATGTATTTTATACCCCCTGGCTATTGCAAAGTTAAGAACTGTTTGGGACCAGTGGATGCCATCAAGAAACATGATAAATGAAAATATGAATGTCGTCCTTACCTTGATAGTTTTTCACAGGAGTCATCTTGTTATAATCTTCTGATAGGATAAACTCCTGCAAAAGAGAAGAAAATACTAAGCAAAAACTCAGGAATTGTTTAAACAAATCCTGACTATATCAACCTAACATCACAGAATCTAACATTAGTATTTTTACCAATGAACTAAGCATTTTTGTACCTTTTAAAAACGACAGTGCAATCATTTTAACATTTACCTTATAATTATAAAGTTGTTTTTTTCCTTTTCAGTATGAATGAAAAGGAAACTGGATCAAGCTCAGAGATTTCATACTGGTCACTTTGGAGCATAAGCTTAACTAATGTTTTTTTCTTTCAAAAGGCACACAAGTGAAAATTACTAAAACTCTGGCCAGTGAGCAAGTAGATAGCAATTGTCTATTAGAGAAATTAGGTAAATATTTTAATGCTTTTTCTTCTAATATCAGCAGTTTGTTTCCTCTTACTACAAGCTTTTCAAGCTTATAGTATATTCTATAACTTACTCATACCTGTAATCCTAAGTAACCAGGCACAGTACTTGGCATAGTAGTTAAGCAATAAATACTGATCAAATGAATATATTCATACAGCATGTCCTAATCTGAAAAAATCAGTTTCAGTCAAATTTACTTTAAAAAATTAGCTTCTATATGCATATTATATAATTTCTTTGTGAGAACATGCAAAGGTGAGTGTATGTATGGGTGCCTCATCTAAAATTACAATGCCCCATATGCATGAAGCCAATCAATTGTTTATAGGTGCTAGCCAGGTTTTGAGTTTTTAAAAATCTTTCAAATGCAAACTATCCAAATATTCTTAAAAGAGTGAATTGTCAAACATAAGGAAAGCTGCAAAGTATAATAAATCGATGCCTTCATTTGAGCTTAAAAACATAACAATGAATATTTTCAAAACATTGGAGGCTTCCAGAATTTTTCTTTGATGACTTCAAGGGTGGGTGGGATGACAGACAGTAAACATCATTACTTGCTATTTATTTACTAGTTCATATAGTTTGTGTAATTTTTTAGAAGAAAGTATTTTATTTTTTATTTTTTTTTATGATAAATGCCACAAAGGTAAATTATGAGGTTATGTGAAGGGACATACATGGTAACAAAGGGTGTTCACAATTCTATCCAATCCTCCCCATGATGCTTATCTACAAGTGGATTTTCTTCACCATGATTTTCTCTGTAATAACCTTATTCAACTTGTCACTTCTGAAATTCATATCATTATTCCTTCAAAGAGTGGCACTATAGCCGTTTCTCATTTCTGAAGAGTTAAGATTCACAATTGAAGAGAGCAGACTAATTTTTCAGAAGTATTTTTCCATATGTAGCTTAAGGAAGCCACACACACGACTAAGCAACAATTCACTGATGCTCTCACTCCCAGAAGGAAGTAGTTGACTCTGAGCTCCTCTCTTTTGAGGGCGATACATACCCTAAAGTACACAGATAAAATGAATTTATTAAAGACAATTATTCTTGGGGCATTTACTGAATCCACGTTATTTTGAATATATTGAAATGAGTCTCTAACTGGGGTCCCTTTGGAACAAAGCAGGGTCTAAAAGGAATCTACAGACACAGTACCATCACTAGTTAACTGAATGCTAAAGTTTTTTTTGTTCACTCAGATTCTGTCAGCATTTCTTTCATTATTATGTTTTTGATCAGAGACGCAACATCCATTCTAAGAAATGTGAGGCAGATGAACATTAAAGGTCTTAGGACATTTCTCAGATGTTAACTATTATGGAAAGTATGATTGGGATAATATGTGCAATAAAGAATTATTTAAAATGTTTTTCTTCCCTGTAATAAGCCAATGTTTATCATTCCATGTGACTATAAACTTATCAAGCTCATTCTTTTAAAGGACTGCAAAGATGTACTGCAATGTTCTTTACTGATGAAACATTTATGTTCCAGTTTTCCTTATTAAGAAATATTGCATTAAATGTATTTTTATTTCCTAATGATATTTCAATAAAATAAAGTTCTAGACTTCTTAAAAGATTTTATCTGTCAACACTCATATATAACATAGCAAAAAAAAGTTTGAACTTAGCTTATATTACTTTCACTAGGATTGACCAATCAAAATTCAGAAGAAATTAAAAATACATGAGTTTAAGGTTATTTTATCCATCTTTTTATCCTTATTTCTTTACACTCTTTATATTCAACTGCTGACACAATCACCAAACTGATGTGTTAAGATTTTTTTAGAGCACTTTCAGATTAACAGCAACATGGTTCCAAATTATTCTTTCTAATGACTATATAATACATGGATAGACTGTATTTTCTTCAAGTAGACTCCCATTAAATGGACATTCTGCTTATTTCCTATTTTTTTACTATTGTAGTACAATGAACTTATCTTTTGAAAAGACTGCTAGCTTAAAGATCATATTATTTTATAAAGAATTGATAGCATTTTAACACTTAAATAAAACCAGTTAATACTAAAACATGTATTATTTCAATATACTCTGGCAAATCCTCTTCCACAATAAAATAGCATTTCAATTTCTCAGTGTATGGCCTTCATATGACTGCATATTTCCCCTTATCTCATCAGCACTAAATATACTCATCTTTTCTATTTCTTGCCAAACTGATGTGCAAAAAATTATAACTCACTTTTTTTTTTAAAAGATTATCCATTTATGGGCCCTCCCTGGTGGCACAGCGGGTTAAAGCACTGCACTAAGAGGCTTAAGCCGCTTCCGCATGAGTTCGATCCCCGCCTGCCCCGGAGGTGACCACATGGCATGGCAGACCTCTCCTGACCCACCCGCTGCTCCCCTCAGCAGTGTACCTCGTCGATCTGCCTGTTCTGCTCCCACTCTGTCCCTGGTGAATCCTCTCACCCTCCGCATCTCTGGCCTGTACCCCAGTTCTGTATGAATAAATAAATACATCTTTAAAAAAAATTATCCATTTATGCATACAAGAATAGGGGGACAGCCAGTGGTGTGGGGGTGTGTGTGAAAGAGAGCGGATTCACCAGGACAGAGTGGGGAGCAGAACAGGCAGATGTACTGAAATACACTACTGAGGGGAACAATGGGTGGGTCAGGAGAGGTGTGCTGCGCCTTGTGGGATCAAACTCATGCTGCAGTGGCTGCTGATGGCTACATAGTGCTGCACTTTAATCCGCGGCACCACAAGGGCCGACCCAAGTCACTATGTTTTAATATGAATTTCCTGAACTGTTTATGGGCTATCACACTTTTTATATACTTATTTGCTTTATTTATTTCTTATTCTGTGAATATTATGTTTTTATCCTGCTCCAGCAGAAGCTCAGGCAAAACTCAGAAAACTATAAATGGGAGACATTCAGTGGGGGGAGGGGAGGGAGAGATATCCAAATAGGGGAGGAAAAAGCACAAGAGACTATGGTGATGGTTCACACACATGTGACTTGGTGGTGGGAATTTTATGGGAGTTACACCTGAGAGGAGAAATCAAACATCATACAAAAATGAATAATGATGTTTTATATATATACATATATATAAAGATAAAATAAAAAACTTAAAACAAACTTTATGCTGTTGCTTTATTTGGAGATGCAGTGTCAGCAATGTGAGCAAAGGGAAAAAAACAAGTCAAGTAGAGAAAGATGAGGGTCACTTCATGAAGCTGGCACATGTTTCATCTAGACATTCAGTTCTCCAGCATGTAGGAAGTCTGAAAAGAAGAAACTAGACCAGGTTACACCACACAGAATCTACGGGGAAATACAATGAAGAAGGAATTTACCTGCCAGTTCTGTTCTCCTTCTCTTTGAATTTTGTCATAACTCCGTGGGAACTTCCCTTTCTTTCTGGGAGGCTGCACTAACTAGCTCTGTTAGCAGCAGCAAGGGAAGTCAGAGCTTAGACCTTGCCAGTGCTGTGCTTCATAAGGCCCAGAAAGCTGCTGAGGAGTGGAGAGTGTCTGCATTAGGTTTTGGTTTAAAGATAGCAAAGTGCAGTGGTTAAAGTTTAAGAACTCAGGCACTGAAGTCAAATTGTTTGGTTTAAATCCCAGCTGAAACATGCACTAGTTATGATAGTGGAGGAGTAAGTCAGTATCTCTGTGCTTCATTTTCTTCTTTGCGACAGCCTCATAAAACTGTGGTGGAGAATTAGGAGGTATTTATAAAGTGTTTAATGAGATGCCAAGCATACACTAAGTCTTTTATTAGAGGTAAACAAAATAAGTAAATGCTATCTTTCTAAAATGAATTAAAGAGCTTTTCTTTTGAAAACAGATAGGAAAATTACTGCTAAAAATAACTCATGAGATGCAACTGTTCTGAGACCCACTTCCACAACCAAACTTCCACTTCACTTTTTAAGGTGAAGTGCCATTTTTATTGTAATGTTTATGTACTCCCTAATCTTTTAACATGTGTAAAACTGTGGTATCATTTTAATGAGTTTAATCTTTAATTTTTACAGATCACAGACAAAGAATTTTTAAGAATTATATCCCTACCCTAATTTCCCCCACAGTTCTGCACAGTTCAGTGATTTTTAAAAACATTGTATTATGGCAAAATTGTGGTTTTATCTTTAAGTCTAAGATATACTTTTTATTTCTATTTTTTTCCTTAATAGGGCACACTAGCAATTAATCAGTTTTATCAGGATTTCCTAAAGTTCAGCATTTGATTTTATTTATTGTCCTTTTGTTTTCCCTACCTTTGATTTCCAATTTCAAAAACATTTATTTTTATAATTCTCTTTCACCTTTTTTGGTTTAACACTTTTTTTTTTTAGTTTAAATTGAATATATAGGTTCATAAATTTAATCCTTTAGTAACATACAACATAACAAAATAACAGCATTTTAAGATAAGTGTAATACTTTAGAGTAACAGTGTTTTAAGATAAAATTATCTCACTATAGATTGCATTGCATTTCATTGGATTTGATACGATGTTGTTCTTTAAAACGATTTCTATGCCCTCCATAGTGGCACAATGGGTTAAAGCACAGCACTATGAAGCTATCCCTAGCCACTGCAGCAAGAGTTCATT